ATACACTGTCAAATAAAGAGAGCGAACTTTTATGGACAGGGTAACCAGACCTCCTTGTTTTCCCAAGACGGCCCCAGTTTATGCCTGTTGTCCCAACGTAATGATGACTAGTTCCCTTTCACTCTCCAGTACCAGTTGGAGAATAATGTACATGGTCATCCTATTCAGGAACACTTTCCGTTTGTCAGTCACTGTACCATTAGTTGATGTTTCATTAGGCCTCATAATGACCCTATGAGGTATAGAAACATCTTTATCATCCTCAATTTAGAGATGAAGATCCTACGTAAAAACCTAAGCAACCTGGTTCCTGTCCAGTCTCAGGATCATAGCAGACATTGGTGGAGCACTTACTGTATTCCAAGCACTCTCCCAAGCACTTTATAAATATTAACTCCTTTAATCCTCATAAAAATACCAGGAGGAGAAGCTTGCTATCATTCCTCTTTTGGTGGGTGGGGAAACTGAGGCCCACGTTAAGTCTTCATTGCTTCCTAACATCAGTCACCAGTTTTTGCCAGTCTTGTCTGCTAAATAATTCTCCAGCCATGCACACAGATACCCTTCTGATGGCGGCTCTTTGCAGCCTCTCTCCCAGTCTGTTGCTGTAACTTGAAACACAGGCCACCAGCTACCAGTTCTGTCTCCCTCGAATCTGTTCTCCACCCAATCGCCAGAATGCTCTCTTAAATCCAGATCTACCATGTCAGTCACCTGCAGAATGAAGCCCAAGTTCCCAAGTCTAGCCCCTCCTCTTCTACGTTGTTCTTCCCCTTGTGCTCCAGCAGTGAGCAGCATAATAGTATGCTTTCCCAGAATACACTGTACTGTTCCACACCTCTTGACCTTTGCACAGGATTTTCTGTCTGCCTGAGTGCCTCCTCACCCCAGTGCGCACCTCTGTCATTGCATACATTATACTAACATGCTCTCCTTATATATTTGCCCCTTCCCGGTAGACCAGAAGGTGCTATATCCCTGGCATCTAGCACAGTACCCAATACACAAAAGTATTCAGTAAGTAAGCTGGAGCTTTCAGTTCCTGATAATGTACTCAGGACTTGCAGGTTTTGAAGGTAAAGTCAAAATTAAAGTTTCTGGTTCTTAGCTATCAAGTAATACATTCTTAGCTTGGGGGGAATAAAAAGAATCTGACAAACTGGCTAATCTAAATGGAACTTAGTTGGGTAGTTGATCCCAGTTTGAATTTCTTCCTGACAGTGCTAAGAAGAGAGCAAAATCAAAGTCCTAAATTGACATGTGAGCACCCGTTTTAGGCAAGCTCATGCTGTAAATCCTTAAGAACATCCCATAATGTGAAAACAACATACTAGAACGTCAGCTAGTGTCTCACTGGCATGTGGGTGCATGAGGCAGGGACTCCGAAGGTGGTGTGGGTTGCTGTGTCCCCAGTATCGAGAGCAGTGCCTGGCGCATGATCGGTGTTCAAGAAATGTTTATGAAAATTAATGAATCCAAAGCCGATAGCTGCACACATTCCTCCTTTAAGAAAAATGTTTTACTTGGTATGAGAATTGACCCTTTATGATCCCGTCAGCATTTACATTTTTGTTCGTTTTTAGGCACTTGCTGCTGGAGGAGTTGGGTCCATTGTTCGAGTCCTGACCGCAAGGAAAACCGTGTAGTCGGAGGGAACTGGACAGCCCGTGGGTGTGGGAGTTGCTGGTACAAAGACCAAAACAACCAAATGCCACCGCTGCCCTTTGGGTAGCGTCTCTTTCTCTCAGCTTTGCCTTCTTGCTTCCTTTTTCATATCCGTAAAGAGCAAAATCACATATCAGTTTTCCTTTCATGAAAATTGGGATAATAGAGAGGAAATGTTTATGAATAGGAGTGTTTCATGCTCTCAAAAACGGTTTTGGTGTATACCTGTCTGTATATAGTATAATTTGCCTTCAAGTTTAATTGTGCAATTTTAACCCCTTTCGGCTGGTGGGGTTTTGTTTTGTTTTGCATTTTTTTTTTTTTTTGAAGTGTTTTGTTTTGTTTTTGACTAATAGTGAGGAATTTATTCAGAATTTGAGGCCAGTTTCCTAACTCCTTCCTAGCCAGGAAATGATCTTTATAAAAAATATATTTGAGAAACTGGCAGCTATTAACGTTGCAAAACTGGACCATAATTCCCTTATTTAAGCAAAATGTGTTTCTGGAACAAATGGTGGGTGAACACCACTCCCAAGTTCCAGCTTTATTTCTCCTTACCTCCAGATCATGTGAGCTTAAGTACGCTTTTTCCTCTCTGCATCCAGTAATCATGGCCTCTCGATTTCTTTGTGGTCTCCAGGGTCCAGAGCAAGGAGTCTTGCTCTACAAAAATGTATCTATGAAATGCCAGAGCCTGTTTGGCACGGGCATAAAACTTTGTTCTAATAATATGACCCAATTTGGGGAAACTACTCCAAATGAGAAAAGACATGGAAACAATGATGAAGTTCAAACTCTGGGCAGCCTCTGAATGAAACGCTGTTTTCTTTAGAAATATAATAGCTGCCTTAGACATTATGAGGTATATAACTAGTGTTTAATATGCCCTATAAATGTCTTCAGTGTTCTTCAGGGTAATTAGGATCTTAAAAGATTTGGTTCAGATCCAGATACATACACATTCTGTAGTTTAGCTCAGTGGTTTTCAAAAAAGGAAAATGCCACACAGCAAAAAGTGTTTACTTTGTTGGACAAACCAAATCGGTTCTCAAAAAATGACCGGTGCTTATAAAAAGTTATCATTCAGTAACTCCAAAACAAACCACCTGAATGCATATGACCAAGAGGGAAATCAGCTTGTGTTTAGTATTTACATTGGACACCAGTTTCGTAATCACTGTCTTACGTAAAAACTGGTGGAGAAATTCTATAACCTCTTTGCTGTTTTTGATAACTGCTTTTTGTTTTGTAAAAATGATAAAAGTTCGGAAAATAAAATGTCAGTGTTGAATAATTTATTTTTCTAACTCTTATTTTAATACTTATGAACGTGTGGTTAATTAAGAGAGACGATTCCCTGTTTTCCCAGCAGGTTATGGTACTCTTGACAAGAAGTAATTTGGTACAGAAGGTTTCTAAAACTCCTTTACTCACATATAAAGGAGTGGAGTAAAAGAGAGTCATGGATGAAGGCAGGGCACCGCCAGAGCCTTTGGAATGAGTGATTCCATAGCCCTCCGGATGCCAGCTGAGCACCCGAGTATCACTGCCCAGAGACCGAAACTAGAATGTGCCGAGTAGCCTAGCAGCTGTGGTCCGTTACCCCCGGCCCGTACACCCTTTCTCACAGCGCAGCCTCTCTTGTCTCCACACCAGCCCTGATTAGATTCCTGCTTTAAAGCCCTAGAAACCAAACAGGCAATTCAGAGGGCGGTGAGTTAAGAGAAGCAAAACAATAGGTAGTCGAGTAGGTACAGCATAACCCCTTACAAACTTGAAAATGAAAACAAAAGTGATACTGCAATACTTCTTAAGGTCATTTTCATGACTATCATGTTGTTGGAGAAAGTTCTGGAGTTCCATATTTTATAGTCCCCAAAACGGGTGTGTTCGTGATCTGTCAGCCTATCAGCTTCACTAGGAGAGAGTAAAAATATTTAACCCTTAGGGCAACATAGGGACTGACTCAGAGCAGATGCCGGCTGGAGACCCCTGGCTTCCCTGATTCCTCTGGGCTGTGAGCCCCGGTGGTGCCGACCATGCGTGGATGGGCGGGGGGGCGGGGGGGCTGTCAGGATGATGGCAGAAAAAAGATACAGATGCTAAGGGGCACTTTCGGCACAAAAGCAGTTCCTTCCCTTCCATTCCCTTCTACTTGAATCTGTGGGGTTTTTTGTTTCATTGTAGCCATTTTCGTTTGTTTTGCTCTTACCATGTTTAAAGGGAGGGAAATGGCACACATCCCCTTTCTTGGTCATTAGGTGACCGCACGCACCATGTAGGCGGCAGTCACATTTGATAGTAAGTGTGCTGATGTCTTAAGGAAACCCAGCGACATATATGTGCAATCAATCTGTAGATGGTGCAAATTAACCAAGATTTATTTTTTAAGCGTTTACTCTGTGCCCAAGGATCATGAAGGACATAATAGAAGAGTAATAGTAAGTTAGTAATAACTTCTCTTATAAGAAACAGGTATGAATAATTTTATCCTCTAAATATTTTTGAGCATTTCTTAAAATGCCCGTTGTGTTTAGAGAGTTCATTTCGAAGGAGTCTGTTTAACACTGAGACATCAGTAATCCTGCCTGGGTCCATGTGGTGCAGGGTTACATGAGCTTTATAAAAGAAATGAAACCTAACCCACATAGTTAGAACTCAAATAGCAGGGAACCAAAGGCATAGTACCCCCAGCATACCACAGCTTTTAATTTCCAAAGCAAGATTCTGAGTGAGAGAGTAAGTGGATTAAAACACAAAAGCCACCCTCTATTGAGTACTTAGGATGTGTCCAACCCCTTGTATATTTTATCTTCAGAACTGAAGCTTAGAGAATATATATAAGATCCCATGGTTTGTAGGGGCAAGAACGAGAATTCCAACCCCTGTCTGCCTGACTCCCAAGGTTATACCACACTTTTCTCTCAAGTCTGGTGCTTGGGGAATACAGATATTTCCAGGACAGGTGAGGACTGGGGCTTTCTCTAGAAATCTCAACCCTGGATGCACGGGGGCTACCGCTGAAAGGAAAAATCCACTCAGGAGCCCTTCAGAGAGGTGAGAATTGACAGGTGCCGAGGTCAGAAGAAGATTTGAGGAGGTATACCCGGCAGCAAACAGAGCATAGCTCTTTCTTCACTGTGAGTTTTACTTGCCTTTTGATGATTTTTAAAGTTGTGAGGTTAGAGTTCAACACTCATAACATGCCTAACTCCACTAGAAAAGAGAAAAGTGGCTGAGGGCTACTCAAAGCATGTAATTTCTCTGTGTCTTGCTCTTTATGCAGTTTTTTGGTTTTGGGGGTTTTGGGGGGGGGTTTTGGCGGGGGGTGGGCAGAGAGAGGGAGTGAGCGGATCTTAAGCAGGTTGCATGCTCAGCTCAGCGCAGAGCCCGAGGAAAGGCGGGGCTCAATCTCACCGCCCTGAGATCATGACGTGAGCCGAAATCGAGTGGGACGCTTAACCAGCTGAGCCACCCACGCACCCCACTCTTCATGCAGTATTTTCAATATGTTCTCTGTTTTCCATGTTTTCACAGATGATGTATTTTAACTAATAAACTTCTATTTTAATTAGTTTTGTCCTAATTCCATTTAGGAAGAACCAGAGCTTCAATCCCTCATTATATTAGCCAAGCTCAATACATGGTTGGTATTTGCCTAATTGAATTCCTCAGAGTCACTTTGGTCACCTCCACTGTAATTGGCCGGTGCCCCATTTTGGAGGTACCCCAAATTGGCAGCTTATCTCTGAAGAGGATCCCAGAGTTGCCCTCATACTGATTTCAAAGCCAGTTGAGGGTTAGAGTTTTTGCAGGAGAAATCCTGGGAGATGGGACATCTCTGAGGTAACTCTGGGCTTGAGGAAATCTGAATCAAAATCATAAACCTGTGTGGATAAGGAACCAAGGCACCGCTCACCAGGCTCGATGCCAACAACAGCGACCACCACGTTCTTTGCGCATGGCCCCACCACACGGGGGTGGGTTCGTATGGGTTTGGAGAAACCCTTAACTGCTGTTGTCTACCTGTACCCTTTCTTTCTTTTTTTTTTTTTTTAAAGATTTTATTTATTTATTTGACAGAGACACAGTGAGAGAGGGAACACAAGCAGGGGGAGTGGGAGAGGGAGAAGCAGGCTTCCCGTGGAGCAGGGAGCCCGATGCGGGGCTCGATCCCAGGACCCTGGGATCATGACCTGAGCCGAAGGCAGACGCTTAACAACTGAGCCACCCAGGCGCCCCTACCTGTACCCTTTCCACTCCTTGTTGGCATTTTCCTGCTCTGCTTTCCTTCCCTGAATCATTTTCTCTCTTCATTCCTGCAGCTGCGGCCTTCCTGCCCTCTTTCGTCTCTCTACTCCTCGGGCCTCCTTTCCTCCTGCCCCGGCACTCAGACTCATTGCTGCTGATTAAATATGTGGCGCTGCAGATTGGTTCAAGTACGGCCCTCCCACGGTTCTCCACCTGACTCAAAATGTTTAAACGGCTTCTTTCTAAACGACGAAAATGCTGGGTTTTATTTCCATAGGTTGCTTTGGACAGCAATTGGGCAAATAACCCAAAATTTCAGACTTGATTTTTAAATACATTTTTCCCCCTTTAGATTTACAAATAATTTCACCTTAGAGACACACACACACACACAAAAAAGTACAAAACAGCACCAAGGTGTCTGGGGATGGGAAGACGAGCCCAATGAATCAAATTGGCTCTGAACATTTCAGAGAGGGGTGCCCAACAACAAGCCTGCTTCTGTCCATAGTCCTGCCATGGGCCTTCCCCCCACCCCATCTCCACCTCAACCCAGTATCACTGATAGAGGAATATGTGAAAACCCCAGTTTCAAAATGTTCTGTGTGCTAGAATGGCAGGTGCCTGTTGAGCGGGTCTGGGACACACAGAGGTACCTCACAGCATCTGCCTCAAGGGGGTGCTACTTCCCCACAGTGATGAGCCAACCACAAGGCCCGTGGGATGGCGCTTCCCCTCATTTGTTTTCCTTCATTTATGTTACTTGGATGTTTAAGTAATAAACACAAATTTTCTGTGTTTACATCTCTTATTTCTCTAGGAAACAGTTCCCTAAAGGCTGTCTACATGAAAGACAAAATGAAGAGTATGCGGCTCCTGAATCCCACTGTCCAGCGTTCTAAGACTCCCCTATTTTTCAGCCCAGCATTTAGCTCATGCTCTGGAGGAGACACCCTCTTGAACTTTCTACCAGACTGTGCAACCTTTCTGAAATCACAGTTGTGTCTTACTTACTCTCTGCAATCCCTTGACATAGTCAAGGCTCACCACTGCATCATATTTGCATCATATTCATTGAGCATCAGTATGCTCACATGGATTGAGCAGGGTCATCTAAAATACCCTGAATTATTATTTTTTTTATTAAGATTTTATTTATTTGAGAGAGAGAATGAGAGAAAGAGAGCATGAGCAGGATGAGGGGCAGAGGGAGAAGCAGACTCCCCGTTGAGCAGGGATCCTGAGGTGGGGCCCGATCCAGGGACTCGGGGAACATGACTTGAGCTGAAGGCAGATGCTTAACACACTGAGCCACCCAGGCACCCATAAGATACCATGAGTTATATGCAGGGGGTCCTGGGGTGCCTGGATAGGAGAACATATTCAGGGGCATATAGTGTACGGGTTTGCGAGTCACCAGAGACAGTGGCTGAGGGACAGAATTCCAGGCCACATCTGGCCGGTGGTGGCATCCAGGGAGTTTACGTGGAACAGCTTTCATTATTCTGTGGCATCACCTTTAAGGTCGGAGACGTGTCCCAACACTTTTTGGTTCCCTTAAAGGTAAATAAAGGTGGTTTCTGATCTTTTGCAATTACAAACAATGCTACAAAACAATGCTACAAAAAATCATTCCTGACTCTATTTAGAATTTTCTACTGTCAACCATAAAAGGACAATACCACTGAGTAACATTGTGTTTCCTTTTGTTTATCCAAAAATTGAATCAAGATTGCAGAAATACCTCTAAGTTAAGATTTTCTTCAATTTGATGACTGAGTATTCATTGACCTATAATTCTATAATTTTATTCGTTTTCATTTTTGTTCATTTTTTTTAAAGATTTTATTTATTTGACAGAGAGAGAGCGAGAAAGGGAACACAAGCAGGGGGAGTGGGAGAGGGAGAAGCAGGCTTCCCGCGGAGCAGGGAGCCCAATGCGGGGCTCAATCCCAGGACGCTGGGACCATGACCCCAGCCGAAGGCAGACGCTTAACGACTGAGCCATCCAGGTGTCCCTGTTCATTTATTTTCAAGTAAGTAATTCGTTCATATGGTTCAACATTCAAAAGGCAAGAAAGATGTGCTATGGTCATTTTCCCTCCCATCCCAGATCCCCTTTTAATAATCAACTAAATTATGAAATTCTTGGCCATCCTCTGGATAGAGTGTATGCAGTCCCAAGCAAATACCTGTATAATATTTCTCCCTTGTTCACATAAATACTAGCATAGCATACATACTGTTCTATGCCTTGCTTTTTCATTACAGTATATTTTGGCAATAATTTCCTATCAGTACATAAAGAACTTCCTTATTTTGTGTGTGTGACTGCATAATTTTCTACTGTATAAATACATGTACCATAATTTACCTAGCCATTTCCCTATTGATTTAGGTGGTTTCTAATCTTTTGCAATTACAAACAACGCTACAATAAATAACACTGTACACACCAAAAGCCATTTCACAGTGGTCAAGCCTATTTATAGATAATTCCTAAAAGTGGAATTTTAGGTCCAAACACTCATAATTTTGATAGATCTTGGAGGCTAGATTGCCTTCCTTAGAAGTCCTGTCCATTACACTTGCTCTGCGTTGCAGGAGAATGCTTGTTTTCTCACCTCTTTACCTTCCCTATGTGCTTGTCATCAAACATTTTTTTTAAGATTTATTTATTTGAGAGAGAGAGAGAGAGATGCGCGAGGGCTCCATCCCAGGACCCTGAGATCATGACCTGAGCCGAAAGAGACGCTTAACTGACTGAACCCCTCAGGTGCCCCATCAAACATTTTTATATTTGCAAATCTGTAGGATAAAAAAATGGTATCATACATATATTTGCATTTCTTGTCATGTAAGCGGGTTGAGCATCTTTTCATTGATTTAAGAGCCAGTTTTCTTTCCTGTACTTCTATGTTTCTATGTTTCTTGCCTGCTTGATCATTTTTTTCTAATTGATTTGTAGGAGCTCACAAGGATGTAAGCCTTTTGTTTGTAATAGGAATGTTAAATATTTTCTCACACTTTGTCTTTTGACTTTATGACGGTTTTTACTGTGAAGAAAAATGTTATTTTCTTTTTATGTAATTGAGTTTATCTATCTTTTCTTTTATGGATTCAAGTCATACTTTCAGGTTTCCCAGCTCCAAAATTTAAAAATAAAAATGTCCCAAAGTTCCCTTTGTTGTTTCTATGATCTTAAATTTTAGATTTTTTTTTAGTTTCAAAACATTGATTTTTTTTTTTTATTCTCAACGATTACTGTTCCAAATGGAAGGATCCTAATGATCAATTTGCCCTTGTGCAGAAATCCCACATAGCTCCTCAATGACTAGTTTGATTGTCTTTCTCAGGACTTGAGGGTATTTTTCTGAAGAGATAAGCTAAAACCACCCAGAGTATTTCGCACGCTGTCATCCAATCAAATATCTACACTCCAGGGGCTCCTTAGAGTGTGTAAGACACAATCCTTATCTTTCAGAAGCTATATTCTAGGGACTGGACACCATAAGCAGCCTGCAATTCTATAGGAAACAAGCTAGAATAGAGAAAGGAATAAAGTCAGGTAGAATATCAAATGGGGAGCAGTTCCCTCTCCAAGAGTGAATGTTAAGGAAAAGCTGCAAGAATATAATCTTTCCACCAGTCTTGCAGGCTATATAAGAGTTTGCCAGATAGACGCGAGCAGAAAGGGAATGCCAGGCAGACAGAACAGCACAATATCAGAAATCACCCAATCAGCATTCCAGAATCTTGTTCATTCTCAGTATTAAGTCAAGTTAATTAACTGATACCATTGTACCACCAGATGATTGAGTACTGGTTCCAAATTTTCTTGGTCCTCAGATAAAAAGCAAAAGATTTCCTTAACTTATACGCAATTCCCAGTGTTGATTCTAGCCAGAGGGAAAACATCTGCCGCGGAGACAAAGCCACTTATAAATGACATGGTACAGCTGTTGGGCCAGGAAGCATATTCGCAAGGCACATGCTGCTTGATGGTGACTCTGGAGTGCTGTGCTGAGTAGGACATGTCCGGAGCCAGCAGGAAGGCAGACCATGATAATTAGTGAGGTCTGCAGCGGGTTTTAGAGGGGTAGAATGACAGCACACATGCTATCCAATTACATTCAATACCTGAGTTATTTGGCCCTGACCTTTATCTACAGCCTCATCCCCAACTAAAAGTAGGGGATGTCTCATAGCTCAAGGGGTCCCCATTCATGCCCACACAGTCCTGTTCTCAGAGGGTGCCACTCACAGGAACTGTGTAAATGGTGTCCCTTGGTGCTATACAACATAATAGTGACTGAAGTTCTGCTTAACTTTACATGCTCACTGCCTAAAACGCATGCCTGCATCTACTGTAGGTCTGTTCTATTCTTCGTTTTATTACCATCCAGATTCCGCTCCTTCACCAGTGACACGACAAAATATGTTCATCAGAATCCCCCTAAGTTTTCCATCTTGAAGTTCAGACACCCGGACAAAAACTGACTTCTCTTTTTCAGTTCCACGTCCAAAGTCCCAGGCAAGGATTCTGATTGGCCCAGCTTGAGTCAAGAACCAACTTCTGGACCAATCAACTGTGAGGAGTAAGATGGATCACACTTTACTAATATGGAAGCTTTTGTTGTAACTCAAGTTTTTAGAAACAGGGGATTCTTATTTCACAAACTAATAAATGTCTATTTCGTGTATATAGGTTCTTCTAGGGCAGGGTCCATGGATTACTGATCTTTGGTCAGTTTATAAAACTTGTATGTAATTGGGTCCTTCATATATTTCATTGAAGAACCAGGCACCTTTTGTTGAATGATGAATGAATGAATGAATGAATGATTATAGATATTATTGTCTCCATTTTTTAAATTTTTTATTATTTTTTTAAAGATTTTATTTATTTATTTGTCAGAGAGAGAGCACGAGGGAGAGCATGAGCAGGGGGAGGAGGTGGGACAGAGGGAGAAGCAGGCTGCCTGTCGAGCAGGGAGCCCAATGTGGGACTTGATCCCAGCACTCTGGGATCATGACCTGACCCAAAGGCAGATGCTTAACTGACTGAGCCACCCAGGCATCCCTATTGTCTCCATTTTAATGAGGTTATCTCAGATAATTACATTGCCTGGAGAAATATAAACATTATAGTGATCACTTAGAATTTTGGTGTCTGGTTATAAACAAGACTTTTTCCACTACATGAAGGACTACAGATGAAGTCTTACAAGAGATGTAGGTGATATGGCATAATAAAATAAACTTTTACTTTGGAACAAACAGACCCGGCAAGCTCTATAGTCTTTGTCAAGTTGCTTTACCTTTCTGAGCCTGTATATTCATCTGTAAAGTGAAAATAATGTCATCTATAGCACAAAGTTGTTATGGAACATAAGCCCATAAAGAATGTCAAATGTCGGGTGCCTGGGTGGCTCAGTCGGTTGGGCGACTGCCTTAGGCTCAGGTCATGATCCCAGGGTCCTGGGATCGAGTCCCACATCGGGCTCCCTGCTCCGTGGGGAGCCTGCTTCTCCCTCTCCCTGCCACTCCCCCTGCTTGTGCTCTCTATCTCTCTGACAGATAAATAAATAAAATCTTTAAAAAAAAAAAAAAAAGAATGTCAAATGTCTGGCATATCAGATTTTCAAGAAATACTGGTTATATTTCCTTTTTGTACTAATTGTCTTCTTTGGAGTTGTTTCTCAATTTCCCGGCCATCTTATATGTCCTCATGTCATCCTATTTGACTCTACCATTGTTCATTTTGTTAGCAGGTAGACTCTGAGATACCAAGCATTATGTCTCTATAAATTACTCTTTTTAAAGAATACTAAGAAGGCCGACCGTGCTTCGGAATTGTAAGGACGCTGTTTGATGGTGACAAGTGCCTGGATTACCAAAACAACCTTCAACAGGTACCACACAGACACCCTCCATTCTGTCTCTACATGGCCAGATTTTTTCAAATCAAAGATTTGAACATCAAAATCATATTCTATCTCTCTATTTCTTAAAAGGCTTCAAATGTTTCCCGTTGCTCTTAGTATAAAACCCAAACTCCTTAGTATGGCCATGAAAATCTATGTGGGTTGGCCTCTGGCTCCTCAGTCTCTGAGCCTCAGCCACAGGGGCCTCCCCTCAGTGCCTCCGCCATGCTCCCTCAGCACAGGGCCTTTGTACACACTGCTTCCCCTGCCCAGATGCTCTTCCCCTCTCCCTCCCAGTCACCTAACTGCTCATTTAGTGTGCTTCCTCAGGAAAATCTTGCCAAATCTTATCTAAATTATGTCCCCCTCACAGCCAAGAGTAGCTATAGTCCTTTTCCTGTGTAGCACTTGGCACTCTGGTAACTTACATTTATTTATCTGATTATTTGATTATCTGTATCACTACTAAATAAATGGTCTGCTTCAAGAAAACAGGCACTGTGTCTGTTTTTGCTCACCACACTTCTCCCACATCTAGTACATCTAGCTGTATTGCAGATGTACAGAAAATATTGGTTGAAGAAATGCATGTTGTACAGTAAAAATGACCAAAAACATTGCTTATTGCTATACAACAAATTAATCTATAACATAGTAACTTCAAGCAACAAGAATCGTTTATTACCTCTCACAGTTTTTGTGGGTCAGGAATTTGGTGGTGGCTTCCTGAGTATCTTTTGTGTTGAGTCTTTCATGACGTTGTAGTTGGAGGTCAGTGGGGGCTACAGTCATCTGAAGGCTTGTCCGAGGCTGGAGATCTTCCCAAGAGCCTGGAAGTTTCTGCTGGTTCTTGGGAAGAAGCCTCAGTTCTCCACATGGGCCTCTCCACAAGTTTCTTGAGTGTCCTCAAGACATGGCAGCTGGCTTCTACCAGAGAAAACTATTCAAGCTGCAATTTTATGGCTTAACATTGGAAGTCATGGACAGTCATGTGTGCAGTATTCTGCTGGTCACACAGGTCAGCTCTGATTCATGGTAGGACTACACAAAGGCACGAAAACCAGCAGGCATGGATAACTGGAAGCCATCTTGGAGACTGGCTACCACAAACACTTCTGTTTAACTCTTGCATTTTCAGACCCTTGACATATGGAAAACATTTGTACAAAGAAGACAGGGCATCCTTCCCTGAGGCTTCTCTACCTCTCCTAGAATTATACTGGGTTTCCAAATTCAGAAGTTCTAGTGAAAGTCTCAAAAAACAACCTTCTCATACAGAGTTAATTAACAAGTTACTGTTCCCCAAAGCCTCTGCCCCATTCAAGTGACCAGGAGGTCACATTTGTTTTTCTATCCTATCACTTAACCAGACACCAAAATTGAGAAACAACTCCAACAAAGAAAATTAGTACAAAAAGGAAATATAACCAATATTTCTTGAAAATCTGATATGCCAGACATTTGACATTTTTTTTTTTTAAGATTTTATTTATTTATCTGTCAGAGAGATAGAGAGCACAAGCAGGGGGAGTGGCAGGGAGAGGGAGAAGCAGGCTCCCCACGGAGCAGGGAGCCCGATGTGGGACTCGATCCCAGGACCCTGGGATCATGACCTGAGCCTAAGGCAGTCGCCCAACCGACTGAGCCACCCAGGCACCCGACATTTGACATTCTTTATGGGTTTATGTTCCATAACAACTTTGTGCTATAGATGACATTATTTTCACTTTACAGATGAATATACAGGCTCAGAAAGGTAAAGCAACTTGACAAAGACTATAGCGCTTGCTGGGTCTGTTTGTTCCAAAGTAAAAGTTTATTTTATTATGCCACATCACCTACATCTCTTGTAAGACTCCATCTGTAGTCCTTCATGTAGTGGAAAAGGTCTTGTTTATAACCAGACACCAAAATTCTAAGTGATCACTATAATATAAGCAGTAGAGGCAGAACTCCTTACAATTCCGAAGCACGGTCGGCCTTCTTAGTATTCTTCATAACAAATTACCACAAAACTTGGAGGCTTAAAACAACACACATTTATCATCTCACAGTTGCTATGGGTCAAGAATTTGGGCATAACTTAGCTGTGCCCTCTGGCCCAGGGTCTCTCTCAGGGCTGTGATGATGGTGTGGGGCAGGAACTACACTCATCTCAAGGTTCGGCTGAGGCTGGATCACTTTTGCACCAGTGGTTAGACTAAGGGCCTCAGTTTCTCCCCGGCTGTTCACCAGAGGCTGCCCTCTCTCGGCCACACGGCCTCTCACTAGTGTAGCTCACAACGAGGCAGCTGACTTCATCAAAGTTAGCAAGGGAGAGGAAGTGAGAGAATGCTAGTAAGATGGAAATCACAACCTTTTGTTACCTGATCTTTGAAGTAACATCCCCACTCTCTCTCTCTCTCTCTTTTTTTAAGTGTTTTTAGTTTACTTATTTATTTTATTTCTAAATTTTTAATTTTTTTCCTTTCTTTTAGTTTTTTTTTTTTTTCTTATTTTATTTGCTGTTTTCTCTTCTTTCGAAGCAAGGCAGTAGTTCCAGTTTGCATTCAAGGAAGGGGGCTTACAAGGGTGTGAATACTAGGAAGTGGGGATCATTGAGGCCCCATGGCTTCCTACCACCCCCAGTAACCTCCCTTAGTTAGGGAGGGTCTCTCTGCTTAGCACAGATTTCTGCTGAGCATTCCACCCCGGTTTTACTATTTTCCTCCCTTTTGGGACCCACTCTATAGATAGCCTAACCTAGGATTTCTGGAAGCAGTCATGGAAAAAATTTTCTATATTCCCAGCAATTTCAAGAATTTGTCTCTTTTTTAAGAAAACAAACAAAAAACTCTATAGCTTTCTGATTTCAAAACTAACAAAAGCTTGGGGTGCCTTGCTGGCTCAATCAGTAGAGCATGCAACTCTTGATCTTGGGGTTATGAGTTCGAGCCCCACATGTGGTGTGGAGTTTACTTAAAATAAAAAATTTTTTAAAATTTTTTTAAAGTAACACAAGCTCATTGTAAGATTCTGACAATACCAAAATATAAAACTATAAATAAAAATTCCCTAGCCTTCTTCCCACATCTCAGAGATAACTTATCAATGTTAATACTGCGCTATACACTTCTATCCCTTTTTCCAATATATGTGCTAATATCATATTCTTATTAATTTACCAAAAAGGTATCAAATGTTTCTTTAGGTTTTTGTTTTGCTTTGTGTTGTTTTATTTAACAGGGTAGTTTGGCCATCTTTTAATATGGGCACATGATCTACAGCATTCTATTCCTATACACACATAGCATAATCTATTTAATAATTCCCTTATGGGTAGTCACTTAGATTTTTTTTTAAAAAAATTCATACCTGGGGCACCTGGGTGGCTCAGTCATTAAGCATCTGCCTTCGGCTCAGGTCATGATCCCGGGATCCTGGGATCGAGTCCCGCTTCGGGCTCCCTGCTCAGCAGGAAGCCTGCTTCCCCCTCTCCCACTCCCCCTGCTTGTTTTCCTGCTCTTGCTATCTCTCTCTCTGTGTCAAATAAATAAATAAAATCCTAAAAAAAAAAATTCTTACCTGTTATAAACGTTGCTGCAATGTGTGTATACGTGTGTATGGGAAGGAGTGTATTTGTACATTTTCATATTTCAGCAGAACAGGTTTCTAGAAGTGGAATGCTGAATCAAAGGATATTACAAGTGTATTACAAAATGTTGTTCAGAAAGGTTGTCCCAATTTCAACTTTTCCAAAACTGATGGTATTTGTCAGAGTAAAGTCCCTGGAGGAACAGATCCCTCGAGGGGATCCAAGACCCTGTTAATTGTGGAAACAGCTAAAAGGCAGTAGAGGCAGAACTCCTCTGTCAAAGGCCAAGGCTGCAACAACAATAACAAAAAAAACCCGGATTAATTCTCAGTGATTCTGGTCTGACTCTGCTTCCTCTCTCTGTGCTAGTAGTTGACCAAGCAATGAGGCTGTGTGGGCCTCACCCACATAGCTGAGCCCGCATCACATGCAGGGCGACCCTGAGATGCCCCCACAAGACCCAGCTCACCTGGAGCAGACATTCATGTGACTGGTTCACTAATCAGCCTCCCATCGGAGGCTTAGTAGAGGACAACCGGTGGTGGAGGGGACCCTGCTGGGCCTCTGGGTTGGGAAGGTTCCTTGATAGAGCGTTCCTGACCCAGCAACCTGAGCTGGGCTGGGAGGAGCAGAGGAATTCAAGGCCAGAAACACCTATAAACAGCTAGCACCCAAAGTCAGACCATTTTGTGCACAAATTCAGGCTCTCTTTGTCCTAGTTACAAGATGGAACTCATGATCTCCCATAAAATGGAAGCTCTCTGGTGGTGATGACATGGGTGTGTAACACAGGGAATAATTCACAGAGCCATACACTTCAGATGCGTGCATTTTACTACATGCAAATTATACTTCAAAAGAGAGGAGGGAGGGAGAGATCATAAAAGAGAAAGAAAAAAGGGAAGAGAAGGGAAAGGAGGGTCCGGAGGGGACAGGGTCCCACAGGGCGTCCCGTCACCGCCCAAGCACACCTCTTCCCGGGATGATGAGAGAACAAAGGACCTGTGGACCTTCTGGCCTGTGTTCCAGCCTGTACCAAGTGAGCCGCTTGTGTTGGCCCTGCGCCCTTTGCTCAACAATGGTGCGTCCATTGTTAATAGTCAATAGTACAAGAGATGGAGTAACAGAGAAAGAGCGTCTGCACAATAACAACATTTGGTGATGTAATATTGAGAAGTATTACTGGATGATTCCTCTCCTCACCCTCCCTTTGACTTGGTGACCTTTCCCCCATTCCTGTGGAGAAACAAGAGGCTGCCATTTATCCCGTAGGAGGCTTATCATGGTGGAGCCAGAGAAGAGAGCACAGATTGGTGGCTTTTAAATTCAGAAGGAGTCTTCCAACGTAACACTGAAGATAAATGGAGGAATGGAGAATGTTGGCCAAGCCAGTGTCCTGCACTGTCCAGCCCCCTTCTTCCAACTGCCCTCTTCCCTGCTGCCCCCTCCCCACCCCTGAGAAGATAAACAAGGGAGAGAGCCAGTCTGGATGGGGGACTCATGGGAGAGGCGCTGAAGGTCTTGGTCTCTCATAAGTTGTTAGCTTCAAAGGGAGAAAAAAACGGCCCCCAGGAAAGTTTGGGAATTTCAGAGTAAGGGAACAAGAGTGGGTTTAAATCTGAAGTGTCTGTGTATGCTTGGAACTGAATAAGATTGTTTTCTGCCACCAGAAAAAAAAAAAGAGAGAACTAAAAATAAAGAGTTGGAAAAAAAATGCAGACTTTTTTTTTTTTTTTGCGTATCTGTATTAGTGGGAAAATACACATTTGCCACAAAAGCACAATTCTCTGGAGTGGATGTTTTTGCTTGTGTTCTGCATCACTCTTAGCACAAAGATGCATTTTCCAAGCCTAGAAATCACATATGTGACCTAACTGGGACAGCCAAGAAAAGAAAAAAAAGAAAGAGAAAGAGAGAAAGTTATGGCTCAGCTCTTGTCATCTGGAGATTTTCATCCAGAGTGGCAGCTCAGACACTGAACGGGAAAAGAGAAGGCACTAGACTTCCCCTTTACCCTTGCCAAGAAAAAAACTGTTTCCCAGGCCTCTGTGCCCAGGCCTGCCCTAATTTGTTTACCAAATTAGGAAAAGAAAACCACATGATGAGGCCCATTTCACAGCCATTTGTATTTCCCCACCCCTGAATGTGACTCAGCAGATACCCAAGGGCTGGGTGAGGGAGGGAAGGTCCAGTGTATTTAACCACTACCACCTGATGGCCTGCTACGGCACAAGCAGAAAGAGATGCTATGAACAAAGGCTTCCTCAAGCCTGGATCCACGACGTGGACACCTGGACCACTTACCTCCCTCCTCTCCCCACTCCCAGCCCCACTTTGGCCTACCCCCAGAAGGGGAAAGAAATGCTCCCCTTGTTCACTCTGGGCATGCGTGATTCAGTTCTAACAGCTGAGCCCTGGGATCAATTGGCCAAAGGTAACAGGTGGGTTGGCTTTTTTTTTAAGTTCCCAGAGAGCAAATGAATCTAAGATGCTATGGTTTTAGCTCCCCAAATAGGTGCCTGGTGAACGGAAGCATGGAGTAATCAGCTGAAGTGCAGAAACCCCAATGTGGGTGCTTAAATGGTTGGGAAATAGTTTCTAAAGCAAGAGCAGTTATGACAACCAATCAAATTCTGGCTCCAGATTTAGCAAACCAGACCCAGAAGAGTGGTTTAAGGTCTAGACAGGTGTTACAGTTTCACACATTGCAAGATGCACTGAAAATCTTATCGAAAGCCAGGTGGCTGAAAGACAGCCAAAAAAGAAAAAGGAATCCCTTTGGTTCACCCAAGATGGCGCATCAGGAAAGCCAATCTGCTGGAACGCTTTAATTTGGGAAGGAGGCAAAATTCATTTGAATATATATGTTCAAAGTCC